CTTCTATTTTTTAGAAGAGTTTGAAGAGAATAGGTATTAAATCTTCTTTGAATGTTTGGTAAAATTCACTGGTGAAGCCATATTGTCCTGGACATTTACTTTTTGGTAGGTTTTTGATTATTGTTTCAATTTCCATACTGCTGATTGTTTTATTTAGATTTTCTAGTTCTTCTTGATTCTTTCTAGGTTATTAAATTTGGTGTTATATACTTTTTCATAGTATTCTTGAATGGTCCTTTGTATTTCTGCGATATCAGTCATAATTTCCCCTCCTTCATCCCTGACTTTGTGTCCTTTCTCTTTTTTCTTTAGTGAGTCTAGCCATGCGTTTGTCAATTTTATTAACCTTCTCAAAGAACAAGATCTTCGTTGCATTTATTTTTTCTATCGTTATTTTGTTTTCAATTTCATTTATTTCTGCTCTAATTTTGATTATTTCTTTCCTTCTGCAGACTTTAGGATTCACTTGTTCTTCCTTTTCTAGTTTTTTAAGATGAAGCATTAGGTTATTTATTTGGTCTTGTTCTTGTTTTTGGAGGTAGACTTGTAATGATACGAACTTTCCTCCTATGACTGCATTTGCCGTGTCCGAAATGTTTTGATATGTTGTACTATCATTATCATTCGTTTCTATGTATCTCTTGAGCTCTTTTTTTATTTATTCCCTGACCCAGTTATTCTTCAGTAGCAGGAGTTGTTTAATCTCTATGTACTTGTGGTTCTTCCTGATTCCCTTTTGCAGTTGAGCTCTAGTTTCAAAGCATTATGATAAAAAAAATATGGTTGGTACGATTTCAACCCTCTTATATTTCTTAAGGCTATCTCTGTGCCCCAGCATGTGGTCAATCCTTGAGAATGTTCCATGTGCACTAGAGAAGAATGTATAAGCAGCTGTTTGGGGACGGAAGGCTCTGTAAATGTCAATTATGTCCAGTTAGATAAATGTATCATTTCAAGATGTTATTTCCTTATTGATTTTCTGTTTAGATGATCTGTCCATTTCCAACAGTGGGATATTTAGATCCCCTACTACGATAGCGTTTTGGTCTGTTTCTCCTTTTAATTCTGTTAGTAATTACTTTACATATTTCGGGGTTCCCTGATTGGGAGCATAGCTATTAATAAGTGTTATGTGTTCTTGGTGCATGATTCCCTTTATTATTATAAAGTGTCCCTTGGTATCTTTCTTTACTTTTTTTGTTTTAAAGTCTATTTTTGTCTGATATTAGTACTGCTACTCCTGCTTTTCTCTGAATGCCATTTGCTTGAAATATCATTTTCATCCCCTTCACTTTGAGTCTATATTTATTTTTGGAGCTGAGATGTGTCTCCTGAAGGCAGCATATGGCTGGGTTTTGTTTTTTGATCCATTCTGCAACCCTGTGCCTTTTTATTGGTGAGTTCAGTCCATTTACATTTAGGGTGATTATTGAAATATGAAGTCTTCATATAGCCATTTTATCTTTTGGTTTCTGGTAGCTCAGTGTTTCCATTGCTTCCTTGTCTTTGTGTTTCTGTTTTGTTTTTTTTTTTCTGAGACGCTTTTGTGGGTTTTCCCTCTGGTCTTTCTTATTTTATGTTGTATACTTCAGTTCTAAATCTTTGGCCTGTGGTTACTATTACGAATATGAAAAGGATAGTTGTATATATACAGTCATCTCTTTTCTTCTGTGTGTGCCTTATCTCCATTACTCTTTGTGAATTTGGATCTTTGAATCCTCCCCTTTTCAGTTATTGTTGTCCCAATTTGTCCCTATGTATGCTGAATGTTCATTACTCCTATGTATGCTGAACGTTCATTACTATCTTGTTATAACAAATCTCTTCTTATTTTTAAGGTTATAATGCCCTGTTTCCAGTAAGGGTTGCACTCCTCTGCTTCTATCAGCCTGCTAGTCACCTTACCTCTAATAATGTATTTTTGTTGTTGTTATTTTGTTTTAGGTGAGCTGATCCCTTTCAGTATTTCCTGTATTGCAGGACTTTTAATGGAGAATTCCCTCAATTTTTGTTTGTCTGGAAAGGTCTTGATTTCTCCTTCATATCTGAAGGAGAGCTTAGCTGGATACATTATTCTAGGCTGGTAGTTCCTTTCACATAATAGTTTAAATATTTGGTTCCATTCCTTTCTGGCTTGTAAGGTCTGTGCTGAGAAGTCCGATAATAATCTAATGGGTTTTCTTCATATGTTACCGTTTTCTTCTCCCTGACTGCCCTGAGAATTCTGTCTTCATCGTTGACTTTTGACAACTTTAATACAATATGTCTTGGTGAAGGCCTTTTTGGGTTGAGATAATTGGGTGTTCTGTTGACTTCTTGAATTTCAAGCTCCAACTTATTCCTTAGATTAGGGAAATGCTTTCTGGTCCCTGCTCCTTTTCCTCACCTTCAGTAATGCCCATTATTCTTGTTTCCTCTCCTGATGGTATTAGCTAGTTTTTGTATTTCTCTTTCACTATATTTCATTCTTCAGTTTCTCTCTTCTTCCTTCTGATTTCTAGATTTTTGTCTTCACTATCACTGATCCTTTCCTCCACTTGGTCGTCTCTATTTCCCAGGCTTGCTATTTCATTTTTCATCTCTTACAGTGTGTTCTTTATCTGCAGAAGGTCTATTCAGTTCTTCTTGAGGGTTTCAATCTCCTTGCTCTGCTTATCTATTTTTTTTTTTTTTTAATTTGAAATTGTTGATATGAGTTGTTTTGGATTTCACTGAATTTTTTCAGAAGTACCATCCTGAAGTCTCTGTCATTTAAGTCGTTTATTTCTATGTCTGTAAGTTATATTCTGGAGATTTTTCTCTTTCTGCGATGCCTTGTTACCTTGGTTGTTCATGATGTTTAATGGACTGTTTCTCCACCTGGACATTAATGGAAGTGTATTCTGTTGTTTTTCCAGAAAGAAGATTGATTAAATAAAGGTCTCTCTTTAGCCCACTGCAAAGAAGATGCTCTTCTTTTGGATTCCAGTAGGTGGTGTCTAAGCCTCTTGGATCCTTAGCAGTTTTGGTAGTGTTTGCTCAGATTCCCGTGGGGCTCCATGGTGATCTAGTCTCTCAGAGGGCACGGGGGAGGGGCCCTCTGGGTCTGGGGTTGGGGGCTGCGGCTCAGCCTCGGTTTTGCAACCGGGGCTGGTAAAAATCAGCGGTTGTTTCTCTGCGGTCCAGCCCCACTTCTCTGCTTTCTGCCTTGATGACTGGGCCCTCTGGTCGGCTGTGTATAAGCCCTAGTACTTCCAGGCAGGGTTGTTCAGGGAAGTCCTCTCCCTCCTTCATCCCTCCCCCTCCTTCTACAGGGAGCTCCAGTGACTGCGAAAGGCAGCTTCTTTATTACTCTCGGTCCACCACCAGACACTCGGGGTTCTGACCTGTGATAACTCTTATGTGCAGATCCCATGCTCAGTCGTAATGGTGTGCAGTTTGGGTGTTTTTTTGTTGAGTTTTAGATGTTCAGCTTATTGTTGTTTCAAGGGAAGAGATCTAGGGACGTCTCTCACCCCGCCATGTTTCCGCCAAATCCCCATACTTTTTTTTTTATAACACTGCTAATCTTCCTTAACTGCCTTAGCTTGATCTTTTAATTTGCTTTACATAGCATCTCTTCATTGTACTTATTCATTGTCTTTTATTTTAATAGCAGTGCCATGTTGAGCCATGTGGAAGCCTGTGGCAAAAGGAACTATTGATCTTATCTATATTTTAAATGTTTATATGTTCACCGTGGATTTTTGCATTAATTTAAAAAAAATTTTCATTAAAATGTTATCTTTATTATTGAGTTTTTTGATACCTTCTTAAATTTTGTACCTGAAATGAGTGCTTCACTTCACTTACCTTAATCCTGGCCTCATCTAGTGGATTAAAGTGGAATATACCAAGTAGATAGTAAGTGCTTTGAGGGAATTTGTGGGAAAATAGAACCAACATGAACTCAAGGTGAGGTTATAACTTTTGCTTAAAATTAGAGGAGTAGAAGATACAGGCGATAGAGTTTTTCACAAAGTTTTTTTTCTACTGGGTAGTTTTCAAGCCAGTATCTTATTTTGACCATGTAGATGTAGATGTAGTTACTATTAGAAAAAATTATAGCTTTTAATTGGTAAAACGAAGTAAAAATATGCTAGCCACTCACTTGAGAAGTAGTGATTCAACTCCTGGTTTAAAACTTGTAGAATTTAAAAAAAGTCCCATAATTGCCAGCGTGAATATTCCAGACATTCCAACTAGCTCACCTGTTTTTAAAAAGAAATAAATATAAAGTATTAATTTAACATTGACAGTGGCACAAATTTTACCACAGATTAAAAAATCAGATATCTTGAAAGTACGGTGACTTTATACAGAGGCTACCCTACTTGGTTTCAACTGGATACTATTATAAATTATTAACACCACCCATCATCATTCTTCCTCTTCAAGTTCACATGCAACTGTGTAGTAAAGTCTGTACTAGACATCCTTACACTGCTTGGCACCATTGGCAACAATATGGAGCTCACAAAACTCTTCACTGGACCTAGTGAAGCTATAGGAACTTCCAAAGGTCTAATGTTTACAGAGGGGCTCTGGTCGAATAAAGGAGAAGTGAGCTAATAAGTTCTTTATGGACTAGCCTATTTCATATGCTTTCTTCTTGGGAGGCAGTAGTAGATACAAGTTTGACTTTGTGACAGGTCTTAGGGAGTTGAGCCAGTAAAAACCCAATATGAATCTACTTCCTCATTTTAGTTTTGTTTTGGTGCATTTACTGTGGGCAAATAAAAAGCTTAAAGAACTGTAGCATATTCTTAAAAGTAGTTCTAGTAGAGTTATCCGCCCCCCTAGCTTATGAAAGTAGAATATTATCATTGTGAAAAATTCAAATAATATGATACAGTATAGAGATTATATATATTAAAAAAAAAAACACCAGTAATTCTACTGACATTACATCAGATATAATTTAAATAAATTTTTAATTGGAATTTCTATTAGGGAGAGAACTGTCTTCACCTAGAAGAAATAATTTGATTAACAAATTGAGAATAGAGAATGAGATCCAAAAGGCAGCTTTAAGCAATAAAGGATGCTCACTGAATTTCCATATTGGAGACAAGTGCTAAAAATTAAGCAGGGAACATGAAAAAGTGGGGAAATAAAGTAGTTATCAGATCTCATGGAACCATGAACTATATAATGTAACTTTTCCTGTGAGCTCTCCTTGTCTCCATCTTAGTAAGGACCAGAAACTGTGGCATATTTAAGAGGAGGAAGCAGATATCATGAGGAAAGAAACTAGAAAATTTTAGAAATTATAAGGAGATCTTTGGGTTTTCATAGGCTATAGAATTGTGAATTTGATATATTTGGATAAAGATCTTTGGGAGGAATGGAGTATCCAATGAACACTCACAGTGGCATACCTCTAACATTCATATACACAACTAAAGTCACACATAAAAAACTACAATGGGCTTATACAGTAATATGATTCTGTAATGGGCTTCTTTTTCTTAATTTAATGTTTAGCAGATATTGTTCTAATGAATAAAAATAAAACTTTTGTTTTAATATTAAATAACTAGATATATAACTTTTATCATATTGCTATATTAAATTGTCATATGTGTGCCTTCTGTTTCTTTGGTTTACTTTGTATTTATTACACCATTGTAATTTGATTACTGTAGTCTTATTAAATGTTTAATTCCTACTTAAATTGGAAAAGTTCTTCACTTTTTAAAAAATTGTCTTGCTTATGCTCAGAGAAACTTTTATTGTTTTGTAAAATTTCAATGCCCCCCCCAAAATTTTTAGCATTGTGTGATTCAGATTCTGATACATTTTAATATGATGAAATTAATATTATTATTACATGGTTGAATCTTCTTTTTAGAGATGGAAAGTTACAGGTTTGATATTCTTTATTTTAGTTCTGGCCAGAAATGGTACCTAACCAAAAAACTAACACTTTAGTTAGTCATTTTTGAATCATGAAAAAGGAAACTGAAGATAGAGGTACTTTAAGATCAAGTTCTGGACTAGTCATTGTAACTTGTTTGGTAATGGTAAAATTTGGAAAATATCACAACTACCTCGAAGGTACTCAGAGTGATTTAATATTATAAACATTAGATTTATATTTACTTTGTATCTTATATTCATGAATTTCTGTCCTAGAAGTTTTCTAAATGTTTATTGAGGCATCTTGACTAAAAGTTTAAAATTATTTCCAACACTTAATATTGAGGTTATATCCACTTACTAAATAATATTAGAGGGAATTTATTTGCTGAAATATATTTTTGTAGGAATTTAGGTATACATAGTAGTACATGATAAATGTACTTGTACTGACAGATCATTTCCTCACTGTCTTATTCATTAACTTGATCCTGTAACATCACTAGATTATAATTGACTATAATTCACTGAATGGTTAGGAAAACTCAAGATCCAATGTTCTGCCTTTCTTTCTTCAGGCATAAAAATAATGAATCCTGTTACTCTAGCACTTCCAAAGAGAAGTTTGTTCTTTGTCTCAATTTATTCAAATTTTATACTTCTCAGTAAACTTTTGTAGTTTTCTGTTTAGGTCTAAACTTCTTGTTAAATTTATTCCTTAATATTTTATAACTTTTTACCAATGTAAAGAGAATCAAAATTTTATTATATTTTCTAACCAGTTATGGCTGGCTTAGATGAACACAACTGATTTTTTTTCTGTATATTAACCCTATACTGAGCAACCAAAGAGCCTTGCTGGCTTAGTTTATTTTCATGGGTTTTCTATATAATCTAAAGTGATGTAACTAATGTAACCATTTTATCTTTCAAAATATGTATAAATTTTTCTCTTTTTTTCTAATTGTTCGCTAGAGTTTTCAGAACTATTTTTAATTATAGATATGAGAATAAGGCAACATGTTCTTATTCCTAAATGTAATGGAAAGACATAGTATAAATTGGTAACTGGGTATTATCACACATGCCAACTCCGAATCATTTGCAGAGCTGTCTGAAGAGCTGGGCCGAACATGATTCTGAGGCTGTATCAGGAAACAATGATACAGCTAATTTTACATACCTGTCATATTTCTGTGAGAAGGGAGTGGTGATAAATGAATTAATAATATTAATAGATTTTCTAATATTTAACCTTATTTGGTCTGTGACTTCTATTTTTATTTCCTTTTTGATCTTAGAGTTACCAAGAAAAGTATATTTCATTTTAGGCAGTTAGAATGATTATTTTTCAAGACCATTCTTTTGTAGTTGGTATTTAATTGCATTGTGGTTGAGCAATGCTTGGAGTTTTATTGAAATGTTCTTGTAGTCTAGTTTATTTCTGTAAATGGTCTACAGGTATATGTAAAGGATACGCATTCTGTTTTGGGAGGTAAATCTTTATATATCTTATTAATACATCTTATTAACCATGCTTTTAAGGGTTTTAAAAAAACCTTTAGATAGCCATAATAATTTTGTGTCCAATTGCTATAAAATTACCTGGAAAAGGCATGCTAAAATATTTCATTGTAATAATAATTTTGTTAGTTTTTTTTTCTGTCTTTTATAAGGGTATATTTACTTTATATATTTTGGCATATTGTTTTCTGTTGTATAAATACAAATATTTTGATCTCTTTTCATAGATCATTTTAACATAATAGTCCTTCCAGATCAGCTGAATTTTTTTTCTTTGCTAACTTGCCTGGTATGTTTATTTTCAATTTTTATTTTGATATCTTTATTTTGAATTTTCCTGTCATTTAAAAGTAGACATAAACCCCTCACTTACAAATAAAAAAGATGAGGTACAGAAATGAAAAGCTGAGACTTATGTGATTGACATCATCACCCAAAACAGTAGACATCCACAACTGAATCATTTTTGAACTTAGAATTCCAAACAAGAAACTTGCTAGATAACATGACCATATTTCATTCACGATTTCATGGGCTGCAAGAAAGGAGAGTAAAAAGAAATAGTTAATAGAACTTAGTCTTAATTTTAAGTGATGTTCTGGATCAACTTTTTGTTATTATCTTTAAAAATAGGGCATTCATTGCCTTTAGAGTAGATGTAGAGTATATTCTTATCCCCAAATTGAAAGAATTTCTTTTCAAATGCTGAAAGTCACACTTACATTTGTAAAATTCAGTCAGTTTAGTTTAAGAGCTTTTTTTCAGTCCTCATTAAGGAATATATATTTATTCCATGCCAAACATTGTAATAATTTTGAAGATACAGAAATGAATAAAAAGTAAAAAGTCTCTAAACTCATGGCACTTATATTCTTGATCTAATGTAACACACACAAGAAATACAGAAAAAGAAATGTCTGAGGGTCCCAACTGAGTGAATCTCCTGTATTGTCTTGGCCTGCCCAATCAACCAGTTTCTTAATTTTGAGCCTTTCATTATTTCTCATTTTTTCCCTGATAAATAATGTTGTAATGTATATTTCTGTACATAAACTTTCGTAATCCTCTGATTACTTCCTTAGACCCCAGAAGTGGAATGATGCACTAAAGGATAATTTCTTCTTTATTGATATTGTTATATTTTGCTAAGTGTCTTTCTACAATCATTATGATGCCCCTCCTAGGACAACAGGAAGTCTAAGTCCTTGGTAAGCTTGTTCACTGGAATCAGGCATGCCTTCCCACCTTTATAACTATAACAATAATTACTACAAAAATTATTGATTCATAATTGTGTCAATTGGTATCAATTAAATATAAATAAAATGTCAGTAAGGTTTATCAAGTTTCTTTATTTCTTAAAGGAAAATTTTCTTTTAAAGCTATTAAAAATTAGGAGAAGAAAATAGGTTCACTAATCTCCTCCTACAGCAGAGCTTTTATTATTATAACTGTTACTATTATTGTTTTAATAGGATGATTGCTTATAATTTTTACTCCTCTTAAACCCAAACAAACACAGAATTATGTTCCATTAATTATTATAAAAATTATGAGGCAAGCTCTGTGAAAGCAAGGACTATTATGTTCATGGCTGAATCACCATGGCCTAGAATAGAAACTAACACATAATACGTACCAATAAATAATTGTTGGATTAATGAATTTATGAACTTCCACATCAATCCCTTTCTTTTTTCCACTTTTCTTTTTTCTATTTTTCCCAGTGAATATCAAGAAAGTTCTCTTGATTAGACCGTAGATGTCATCTCTGATAAGGTTCCCTGAAATTCTGTGGTCAATATTTACTGTCTTAAACAGGGCCTGATAGAATACTAGACCAGGTTTAGAGGCTGAACATGAATCTTTGTGACTAATATGTAAGACTGTACTTTGCATTTTTCAGTTTCCCCCAAGGGTGGTCCTTGAGTTTTTAAAATGCTTCTGAATATAGATATTTCTTTTTTGATCATCTTAGTCATCTTCAAGAAGGACTTATCTGTAGGAAGTTTTATGGCAAAAAGCCCCTGGTTACTATTTTGTGTCACCTCCTCTTGTACTCTAGATTTTGGAGGAGGTTGTATGTGTGTGGTGGTTTGGCTTTCCCACACATTTGGTACATATGAAGCATTTGAAGAAGATGTACGTTCCTGTGCTAAATTGAGGTTCTAGGTTCACCACAGATGTCCCAAGCTGCCATGGCCTGGGTAAACAGAGCAAGGCTAAAGGCAAGTACTTCTTATGTCAAAGTAGGGTGACTGTCCATCATCTGGACCAGCTCCCTTGAGAAAGACATGACAGGAAATGATGGTCCCCTGAATGGGTATTCTTGGAAAAGAGAGTTTTTAATTCTAAGTGTTAGGCATTGATTATAAATATGTAAGGCATGATGGGTCAGAACAGAGGTAAACAGGGTTCTTGGCTGCCCAACAATGAAGGATACTCCAGGGACATGGAAAACAATGATGACTAAAACTCCTCGAGTGGTTAGTAATGTAATTTGGATTTTGCTTAATTGATGGGGACAGGGGGTAGTAGAAGGATCCCACTTCAACATAAGAGATTACTAGGCATCAGATATACTAGATGTACAGACCCCTTGATATACTAGAACATGGTCTGGAAGCACCTCTTAAACACTTTTTTTCAGAGGGTAGGGAGGTGGAATGAGATAATGCTGCAGAAAGCCTTAGAACACAGAAGACATCCAGTGGATGAAACAGTATACATATATCAGCAATTTTCTCCAGAAGACTTTAATCATTGCTTTTCCAAAAATTGTACATATGGCAATGCAGTAAAAAAGATAAATTACTTCTTGGTGTTATTACAGAAATATTTGACTTTGTAGACACCCTTTAAAGTAGTGTGGACCCCTCTCAGACTACATTCTGAGAAGGTATGTGTTTTAATCAGGGGAGGCACATAAGATGCTGCTGGGGGTACTGATAACACTATACTTTTGTTTTGAGTGATAATTACACATCCATAGACTTTATGTCATTCATTACAGTGTACACATATCATTTATTTTCTATACACACATACGATAAAGGAAAAAAATACTTATGGTAAATGAGTTCATGGGCACCTTGCAATCCATCTGCTTACTGCTTTCAGGCCCTGTAGCTGGTTATATAACTCACACTTCCTCCCTGAGTTGATAGCTTTCTATGTTGCCTGCAGAGACATAGTACAGGGGAAAGGCAAGAAAAGGTGCCTCCTCTCATCACTGGTGGATGCATTACTTGTCTTATTATGATTTCATCTTCAACTCATAACCTACATCTCTCATTCCCGTTGGTAAGCATTCTGATTCAGCCTAGGCCTGTGGAAGGCTGCTTTTATAAGCATCCTCATTAAAAGTCCCAACCTAGCCTCACAGCAAAACCACAACGATAATTAAATTAGGGATGGTTTTTGCAAATACATGTAGTGCTTTTTGTAGTGCTTGGCAAAAGGTAAATCCCTGTACTAATACTCATGAGTATGCTTGTACAAGCATAACTTATGGTAAGATATTATAAACTCCATGTCAGCTCTCAGAAAATATAAGATTTTGATTTTAAGAAATTAAGAAGAAAAAAATAGGCCCTTACCTAAGGAATGGTTCATGCGTTTCAAGTTGACATTAATCTCCATAATACTAGCAAACAAAATAAAAGTTATTATAGAGGTAATCAGACTTTCTCCATTAATTAAATCGACGAGGACTTTAGAAAGACCTATGAAAGGGAAAATATTTTCTTTAAGGTGGGAAAATCTTTATTAATATTAAACAATAAAATTTTATTGGCAAGCAGAATATTCTTAGCTATGAATTTATATTGCATACTTTGCCTACATACTTAAATAACTTTGATCATTTTTGAAAAAACTCCCTTCAAGGAATCTTAAGAATATGCCAAATTAACTGTGCTTGATTACAGTTTATGTAATTGAGGTAATCAACTAGAGCTCTGTTTCAAAGCACAAATAAAAACATAAAATTACTTTTCAATTCAGTTATTTGGCCTATATAAAAACACACATCATGTATTTAAGGCAATATAAAAAATGATCATGTAAGGACAAAGTAAATTCATAAACCAAGACTTTATAACACTTTACCTAAATGAAGAATTAAGGCAATTGTCCAGATAATTTCACTATAATAGAAATTGCCTGATTTTCCCATACATTCTTTTCAATGGTTTTAGAAATCGAGCTCCATGAACAAAGAGCACCCTGATATTATCTATTCCATCCTAATTTTCCTCTATTTATGATAATGTTCTGTTAACATATTCATTAATTATCATTTTTCTCAGTTACTAAATATTCCCATAGAGGCAAAACTATAATTTTGAGCACCTTTAATGATTTTCTAAATTGCCATAGGAAGGAAATGTTATTACATGGTAAAAGCCCTTCTTGTGAACCATTCATTTAATAGCTGTGATCAAAACCTAACACAGTAAGTACGCCATAGGAAAAAAAGCCAAGGCAGTCTGTTCTTGTGAAAACTCAATTGCCTTGATGATCCAATTCCTCACCTGTCCCTCCATCTCTGCCCTTTACAGTAAGGCTTCACAGTTGCTTTCACCAAAAAGATCCATTCTTGTTTTGTTATGAAACTTGATGCAAGCAGAGTCTTGAGAAAGATTTCTGCTTCCTCTCTCTTGAACCCTTGCCACCATTATGGCAGCATTCCCTGGCTACCCTACTGGATGCATGTGAGAAATATATGGAAGAAAGGTGGATCCTTCTAACTGAGGCTATCCTAGATTGGCCTCCAGCTGCTCCTTCAGCTGACTGTAGATTCATTAGTGAGCCTAGCCAAGATCAGCAGAGCACAGCCCATATCATCAGAACTTCCAGACTCATGAAAAATAATAAATAATTATTGTTTTAAGCCACTGTGCTTTGGAGTTGTTCCTTACTCAGAAAAACCTAACTGATACTGTCGTATAATTTTTCCATTTTAGAACATGGAATTATAAGAAAATGTAAATATTAGGAAATAAATAATAGACATGGTGGCATAAGAGGAGTCAACAGACCATAAAGAGCTCAAGATAATGTGAATATACACATATATTTTATTCATTGACCTGGGCATATTTTTTCTTTTCTTCTCTTTTTTTCCTGAGAATAAAATTTAAAAATATAAAAACCTTGCTTTGAAAACTCAGGCAAAAATGTTTCCAAGAGGCACTCAGAGAGTCCTGTAGAGGTGAGGTTAAATGATAGATGCTGATACTTCTTTCTTCTAAACTCTTACCTCACAATCTTAATCTTCCTGTTTTGAAGACTTGGCTTTCCTTTATTTATATAGATACACTTAATGTGTCTCCCCTACTCTATTTCTACTTGCTTCAGATAGCTTATATTCCTTTAACTGGCCATAAAATAAAAAGTGTATGTTTGCATGCACACATGCATGTGTGTGCCATATTAAAATTCTATTTCAAAACAAATGTTCCATTTCTCATTATTAAAAAGTGACTGGAGGAAAACAAATCAGGTTATTTATTTATTTAATTTTTTAATAAGGCTCTTGGATTTTCAATGGATTATGTTGACTTGATATTTTACTTTTAAATACATATTTTTTTCTCCTAAAATAGTGCACACTGAAAACACTGTGCAATTAGTGATTTTATTGTTTTGTATTTTTCAGGCTTTTAGTTCAAATGGTGACAATGACTCCAAAGGCAATTTTTAAAAAATAAATGGCATTATTCTAATGACAGTGTTTTCAAAAAAAAAAGAGGTGTTGGGCAATAGAAATGTCACCACAGTGTATATACAGTATTGTAAAGCCCTCGGATCTGTTAGTTCAAAGTAGAAGGATGTATAAAGTCAAGGATTCCAAATAATCTCCTGTTCTATTTCACAAGTGGATGTAAGACTTTAAAAAATATCTACTAAGTAAGTCCATCATTGACATTTCATTCTGTTCTAAGCATCACCATTGCATTTCTATGTTCAATCTCAAATGCCCTAGTACTCCATTTTACATTGTGAAAGCTATAGTGAACAAAAGATCTTAAAACTAAACAAGTTAAATACAGAATATGATGTTTTATATATAGGAAAAGAAAAAATATATACCTACCAAGGTCTCTTATAGCAGCTGCAGTCAGCATGGGATCTGAACTCAAAAGGATAGTTGAAAATAAGAACTGTGAGATGGTATTCAAATATAATTTATTCACAGATGCCAGATACCAAAAAATTAAGGTATAATTTATTGCAAAGCCAGGAATTGTAATTAAAAGTATCTGCAAAAAATTTTTACAGATAGGAAAATCAGATCCCTTTTATTTCTTTTTCAAAAGCAGATAATCAAGATTATTGGAGATGTACAATCATACTCAGTTCATCAAGGAAAATTTAAGTTTTCTTATTTAATAGCTATGTGCATATAACTCTGGAAATGAAAGGCAAATATTGCAATGAGATTCTTAGGACCTAAGAAATACTATATTATAATTTAAAAGGAACTTTTAATTTTCTTGATAAGGCCATTGAGTATACTATACACACACACACACACGCACACACAAATATATATACATTTAACTATGCATAACATATGAGACATAGCTTATTAACATAGGAAAAGCAACAAAGATAAAAAGAAAAAGAAAATAAGATAACAAAAATAATGTTAAGAAATGGCAGAGGACTATAAAGAAAGATGGGAAATTAAATTCTGTTGTTTTAGGACCGAAACTCTACTTACTTTCTGCCTTCCCACCATTGCCACCTACTTTTATTCTACCTCTGGTGGCTATTTAGCAAGATTTTACCCCCAAATATATTTGAGAAAATGTAGTGATTGTGCCTGAAGTTACCTGTAAGAATGCAGGACTGTACCCCCATGTTCACTGTAGTATTTTTTAGAATAGCCAAGGCATAGAAACAACCTTAAGTGTCCATTGATGGATGAATGGATAAAGATAATGTGATATATGTATACACATATATACATGCCATGGAATATTAATCTTAAAATAAAAGAGAAAATGTTGCCATTTGCAACAATGTGGATGGACCTTGAGGGCATTATGCTAAGTAAAATAAGTCAGGCAGAAAAGTCAAGTACTATAGACCTTAGGTATGTGTATGTGTGAAATCTCAAAACTCTGAATTCATAGATACAAAAAACAGATTTGTGGTTGCCAGAGGAGGGAGGTGTGGGGTGGGGAAAATTGGTGAAGGGGTCAAAAGGTACAAACCTCTGGTTATAAAATAAATACATCCTGGGGATGTTATGTACAGCTTGGTGACTATAGTTAACACTACCCTATTGTATATTTGAAAGTTGCTAAGAGAATAGGTCTTAAAAATCTCATCATAAAAAAAATGTGTAACTATGTGAAGTGGTAGATATTAATTAGATTTATTTTGATGGTCATTTAAAAATATATACAAATATAAAATCATTATGTTGTACACCAGAAACTAATATAATGGTACAGTTAATTATCTCAGTTAAAATAATAAAATAAAAATAATAATTGTAAGGGTTTCATAATGATGTTGAAAAATGTTCTTACAGTCAATATTACATAAAAACAGCAATATAAAAAAATGAGTTTTGTGACTAAACCTTATTACACATCCTTAATACTTCTTTAGAATTTCAATAATTAAAATTAAAAACATACATTACTTTTAGGGCCTTCCATAGAGATTACTAAATTGCTCTCCAAAAAAGGTTCACCAACAAATACAGCCATCATCAATTTAACGATCACTCCTATTTACATCAATTCTCCAGAGGCAAATCCCTCTCCATGGGGTCAGCCACTGCAAAGCAGATCATGGCCAATCCTCACAGCCAGTAAGCCTGAAGGTCAATCCTACTCACTGATGTGCCAACAGCAATCAAGGCTCAGCTACAACATGAAGGCACACGCAACACACAAGGGACACTCCTGGAGCATCTGGTTCAGATGACTAGGGAGACTTCGCCATGGGGCCCACAGGACACCTACTACAAACAGCCACCCTGCCAAGACTGGGAGATGTAGCATGTCTACCTAATACATAGAAACGAACACAGAGAGACAGCCAAAATGAAGAAACAAAACAAACAAATAAACTAACGAATAAAATAGAAAACTTAAGAAAACGAAATAAATGAAATAGAGGCAAGCAATCTACCAGATATAGAGTACAAAACACTGGTTATAAAAATGCTCAAAGAAATGCAAATTAAAACCACAATAAGATATCACCTGACACCTGTCAGAATGGCTATCATCAATAAATCAAAGAACGACAAGTATTGGAGAGGATGTGGACAAAAGGAAACAATAATACACTGTTGCTGGGATTGCAAATTGGTAAAGCTGCTATAGAAAACAGTCTGGAGCTTTCTCAAAAAATTAAAAATGGATCTACCTTTTGACTCAGCAATTGCACTTCTGGGCATTTTCCAAAGAAAACCAAAACGATAATTTGTAAAGTTCTATGCACTCCTGTGTACATGGCAGCACAATTTACAATAGTCAAGATATGGAAGCAACCTAAATGCCCATCAGCAGATGATTGGATAAAGAAGTTATGGTTCATATATACAATGGAATATTACTCAGCCATTAAAAAAATGAAATCCTACCATTTGCAATGACATGGTGGACCTAGAGGTTATTATACTGAGTGAAATAAGTCAGAGAAAGATAAATACCATATGATTTCACTTATATGAGGAATCTAAAGAATAAAAAGAACAAACTAATAAAAAACAGACTCACAAATATAGAGGACAATCTGGTGATGGCCAGAGGGGGTTGAAGGGCTGGAAGAAAGGGGTGAAAGATTAAAGAAATACAAATTAGTAAGTGATAGAAGGTCACGGGGATGGGGAGCACAGCATAGGAAATGTGGTCAGCATTAATGTAATGGCTAGCTGTAGAGCCAGAGGAGAGAAAGAGCAATCAGGGGGATCATTTCATTAACTATATAAATATCTAACCAATGTACTATATACTTGAAACTAATAAAAAAGTAAAAAAAAAAAAAAACCCCACAAACAAACCTGGTACTGGCATAAAAACAAACAAACAAACCTGGTACTGGCATATGGGTTGGTGGAACAGAATAGAAAGCCCAGAAATAAACAAACACCTATATGGTCAAAGGAGGGAAGAATAGACAATGTGGTAAAGATAGTCTATTAAATAAATGGTGTTGGAGAACTAGACAGTTACATGCAGAAAAATGAAACTAGACCACTTTCTTATACCATGTGCAAGAATAAACTCAAAATGAATTAAGACTTAAATGTAAAACCCAAAACCATAAAACTCATAGAAAGAAACATAGTCAGTAGACTCTTTGACATTGTTCTTAGTAATATTTTTAATGATGTATCTCCTTGAGCAAGGGTAACTAAAAGAAAAAATAAGCAAATAGGACTACATTAAACTAAAAACATTTTGCATAGCAAAGGAAACCATCGAACACAAAAAAAAAAACAAAAAGACAACCTACTAACTGGGAGAAGATATTCACCAATAATACTTCTAATAAGGGGTTAACATGCAAAATGTGTAAAGAACTCACACAACTGACCATCAAAAAACCCTAACAATTCAATTTAAAAAAATGGGCAGAGAATCTGACTAGACATTTCTCCAAAGAGTACATACAGATGGCCAATAAACATATGAAAAGATGCTCAACATCGCTAATCATCAGAGAAATGTAAATCAAAATCACAATGAGATATAACCTCACACCTGTCAGAATGGTCATCATTAAATAAACAAACAACAAGTGGCAATGAGGATGTAGAGAAAATGGAGCCCTTGTACACACTTGGTGGGGTTGCAAATTGGTGCAGCCACTATGGAAAACAGTATGGAGGTGTCTCAAAAAGCTAAAAATAGAAATATCTTATGACCCAGGAATTCCACTTCTGGGTATTTATCTGAAGAAACCTAAAGCACTAATTCAAAAAGATAAATGCTCTCCAATGTTCATTGTGGCATTATTTATAATAGACAAGATATGGAAGCAACCTAAGTGCCCATCAATAGACTATTGGATTAAAAAGAATTGGTACGAAAGGCACCTAAAAATAGCATAGATGATAGAGGCTTTGTTCATCCCTCTTGCAACCACATCGAAGTTGGGATAGAAACATGGAGTAAACAGCAAGCAAAGTTGCCTGAAATCTAGATGAACAGAACCACTAAAACTAGGGAGAGAAATAATCAACCTGCAAAGGTAGGAGGGGGAGAAGACCAAGTGGCTGAGTAGGACAGAGGCTACGGCAGCTGCAGTTGGTATCTGCAGATGCCTCTTAAAGGGTCTGTGTCCGCGAGTGGACTTTCATGGTGACAGACCTGCTTGCTCTAAGCACCGGTGCCTGGTTGCCTGTTTGGGGGGCACCAGGGACTTACAGGGGGACACTGATTTGTTGGAATGAGGGCCAGAGGCAAGGCTTTCTCCAAGGCAAAAGTGTGGGTGGTATCAATTGTTCTTTTGTTGAGCCCCCCTCCACCTCCTCACAGTGTGCAGATGCAGCACCGCCATAGCTGAGACATTGTCAAACTGAATATCACAGGTTGCTCTGCCCAGAGGATTCCCAGAAACTCCACCTCCCCCAACTCACAGCCCTATCCAAGACACATTCAGTTGTATTCTGGGTGAGTCTGGTCCTCCTTACTGAGCCAATGCCAAGACTCACACTGGTGGCAGCTGGTCTTGGTTTCTGGTGTGGCAACTATAAGCACAGTATCTGTGGATTGCTTGCTGAATCTTAACAGGTGGTTCCAGAGGAGCACAGGCTGGAGCTAAATTAAGCCTGCAGCTGAATCCCTCTCAAGACTGTGCCACTGGACACCTATTACACAAAGTCACACTAATAATACCGGGAGATTTAGGAGTTTTACTTAGCACATAAAAAAAAGACACAAAAAGGCAGTCAAAATGAGAAGACAAGCAGAAACCATATGAGAGAACAGAAAGAGATCCAGAAATAATGAAGTCGAGTAATCTAATAGATGCAGAGTTTAAAACACTGGTTATAAAGATGCCCGATGAACTAAGGGGAAGTTTAGATGAACTTGGTGAGAATTTTAACAATGAAATAAAAAACATAGAAATGGAAATGGAAATTATAAAAGAGAACCAGTCAGAAATGAAGAACACATTATGTGAGATGAAGAGTATATTAGAATCAACAGAGTGGATAAAAAAGAGGATCAAACCAGCAATAAAGAGGATTGGGAAGCCAAGGACACTCAATCAGAATGGCAAGAAAAAAGAAGCTGACTATAATAATTATTTAAGGAGCCTATGGGACAAAATTAAATGTAGAAACATCCAGGTCATAGGGGTACCTGACAGGGAACAAAAGGTTGAAGAGATATGTGAAGAAATAATGATGGAAAACTTCCCTAATCTAGTGAAGGAAATAGACATACAACCCCAGGAATCTCAAAGAGTCCCAAAAAAGATGAACCCAAAGAGGCCCACACCAAGACATATTATAATTAAAATGCCAAAGGTTAAATACACAGAGAGACTCTTAAAAGCAGCAAGAGAAAAGCAGTTAGTTACCTACAAGGGAGCACCCATGAGACTGGCAGCTGATTTCTCAAAAGAAACTATGTAGAACAGAAGGGCTTGGCACAAAATATTCAAAGTGATGAAGACCCAGGATCTACAACTAAGAATTCTCTATCCAGCAAAACTATTGTTTAGAGTCGAAGGACAGATAAAGAGCTTCCCAGATAGAAGTAAGCTAAAGGAATTTATCAACACCAAGCCAGTATCACAGGAAAAAATATTGGAGAGACTTTTTTAAGAAGAAAAAAAGTATCAAAAACATGAATAAAGAATGGTAATAACTATATTCATATCAACAAGTACCTCAAATGGAAAAGAATTAACTACTCCAGCCAAAAGATAGGGTGGCTGGATGAATAAGAAAATAAGGCCCCTACAAATGTTGCCTATAAGAGACTTTAGATTAAAAGACACAGACTAAAAGAAAGGGGATGGAAAAAGATATTGCCTTGATGGACCTAGAGGGTATTGTGCTGAATAAAGTTAGTTAGATAGAGAAAGACAAATATCACATGATTTCACATACATGTGGAATCTAAAGAGCAAAATAAACAACAACAACGAAAACAGAAACTAACTCATAGATACAGAGATTACCTTAAGGGCTACTAAATGGGAAGGGGTTGGGGGATGGTGAAAAAGGGCAAAGGGATTAAGAAGTACAAATGGATAGTTACAAAATAGACATGGAGATATAAAGTGTAGCATAAAGAAAATAGTTAATAATGTTGTAATAAATATGTAGGGGGGAAGAGAGGTATTAGATATGGTGGGGTAATCACTTTGTGAGTTACATAGATCTCTAATCACTATGTTGTACAATTGAAACCAATATGTTATTGTATGCCAACTATAAAAAAGCGACAGTAAACAAGTGAAATTTTAAAAAAAGAATTGGTACAAAATACAGTAAAATATTACTCTACCATAAACAAAGAATGAAATCTTACCATTTGTGACAACTTAGATGAACCTGGAAGATATTATGCTAAGTGAAATAAGCCAAACAGAGAAAGACAAATATCATATGATCTCACTTACATTTGGAATCTAAATAACAAAATAAATGAACAAATAAAACAGAAACAGACTCGCAGATGCAGAGAATTAACTGATGGTTGTCATATGGGGGGTTGGTGGAGAAAGATGAAAAAGGTGAAAGGATTAAGAAGTACAACTTGGTAGTTACGAATAGTTAGGAGGAGAAAGTAAAATACAGTATAGGTAATATATTCAATAATATTTTAATAACTATGTATAGTGTCGGGTGAGTGATAGACTATCTGGCGGTGGGGGGGGGTCACTTTGTAAATTATATAAATGTCTAACCACCAGGCTGTATACCTGAAACTAATATAAAACAATATTAGTCAACTGTAATTGGGAAAAAAAAAATTCTTCAGAGAAGTAAATCAAATGGCATACCCAGGTTTCTGTCTCAGTTTCGGCTACTACATCAGGAAACTCATGTATTTTCCTAATGAAAAAGTAAAGTTCTCATTCCCTCATTTATTATACATTAATTCACCAATTATGCAATGAGTCATACGATATAGGCACAGGAGAGTCATAAACCCAATGAAGTTTTAAAAAAAGAATTCGGAAGAACTAAAATATTAAAAGCATTTCCTTTTGATTATTTAGCTTTTACTTGTACAGAGACACTCATGCAGAATGAGCTGGTGAATGAGCACTGGACTCTAATTCAGGAGGCCCCAGTGTGGGTGCTAGTGCTGAGTGATTTTGGTAAAGTCACTTGATCATACATCACTAACTCAATCTTAGAAATGGAAGAAGAATGATTAAGTGTTTATATGTGCTACTGAGAGGGAGTCTTTGGTGGATAAAGCTTGACAACAGCATCAGGATGGTGAAAGAAAATCAAGGCCCTGTAGATAAGCTACTTCTAGAGTAGTCAAGTTCTCATTTTAAGGTTTTGGTGGTCAGGATTGTTGTATTAACTCCTGTTAGAAGGAACAAATTAAATTGAGGCTCTGAGACAAGAAGATTGAGGGTCAGGAAGCTCAAATCCCTTTTCTTCCACCACATAGCTGTTGTCTATACCTCAAGAAATCACATGGTAAATTGTTTGCAAAAGTAGCTGCAGTAAGTCTGCTTCCTGAATCCATATCATTGGGTTGTTATCTCCCACACTGACTTGGGGTTAGTTATTTGATTCATTTTGGCTACAAGGAATGAGAGCAAACATGATGCAAGTAGAGACTTAAAAAGCAATGGCAAATTAGAGCTTGTCCTTTCCTGCTGTCTGAGACTTTACATCCTTCATGTGAAGAAGCCTGAAGTAACCTAGATGATGAGATATGTGTCACAGTGACAGCTATTGCCTACAGCCAACACTAACAGTACCAACGGACACATGAGTAGTGGGGGATGAGGGGGAGTGCCTCCAGCTCACCCTGCTTCAGCTGACCCTGAGTTGAACAGAGGCTCAGGAGACAGTTCTCCAGAGATCAACTGAATCAGCACAAAATGCTTTGTATCTCTATTCATTCCAATTTCATTTTTTGTTGTCATTTGTCTGAACTCTATTTGTCTGGACTCAATTTATAAAGTGTAGATTGTTCTAATAGTTTTGCTTCTAATATAGTTTAGATAGTGACCTTATATTTACAAAAGTGTTTTGATTACTTTTAAAGAAATGCACCCCTGCTTAAGATCTGAACTATTTTTCCTCAAGGTCTTTCCTTGATGAGGTACAAATATCACATGATTAGAAAAAAAATCATAATAGTTTGTAAATTAGGGTTATAGTTATTTCTGTAAATATTCTTCTCTGTTTTATTTGTTTTATTTGTATTGTGGGTGTGGGAGTTTTAGAAGGTGAGTATTTAAAAATGTGACTTTTATCAATAATTTCCTTTTATTGGACCTAATATAGTCATAATAGTTTTCTTGTAGCATGTCAGAGTTTAAATGATAACTGCCGTTAAGTTCTGCCATTCATATTTTCATTACTTTTTTTCCTTCATAATTTTTCTTGAGTCTTAAATATTCTAGACAATTGCTAAGATATGGTTTATTTACTAAAATAAAAGGCTGAATTTACTTCTCCCACTCCTCGTACATTTTTCCTGTCTTCTTTGTTTTCCAATTTGGAGCAAAATGTTTAAAAATTTGAATACAGCAAAATGTAGTGTTTCATGAGTGAATAATATTATTGAAAAAGAGTATTTTTTTACCTGACATAATAATTTTTGGAGCATGTAAACATCCATGTCAAATGCAGCATTAAAGAAAATTATTGGTGGAAATAGATTAAAAAAAAGATTTGGATCCATCCATTGTATGGCATCTGCATATCTTTGTACCTAATAATATAAAAATATGTTATTTTTAAATTTATCCATCCTTCTATTAGCATAGAGTATGTGCCAGGCATTCCTATCTCTAGCAAAATAGAAAAAGATACATCATAATTTAGTAAGTGCTGAAGTCTTAACTGTTGAACTTATTACCAATTACAGTAGAAAATGAATACACATTTCTATGCCTTTTTTATTCTTTTAAAGAACAGGTATAGAAAATACATTTACATGGATACTAGAGAATATGTAGGAAATTTTCAGGCATACAAGATGAAGAAAAAGATTTCAGGTAGATGGATTATCATGCACAAAAATCCACAACGAAGTAAACAATTCTAGAAACTACAAATAATTAGCCATGGCTTATGAAGAAGATGTGTGTAAAAGAAGAGCAGGGATAGAGACTGGGATGTCAATGCACTTGATGAAATAACTAATTAATGGTATTTATCAAAATATTAAGTTGATATTTGTAAATCTTATTATGGACATGCAATCATTCAACATCCATTTATTCGGAAAAAATACTGAGTACCTACTGTGTTAGGTGATATTTTTGCATTTGAGAGCTGATTCTTCATGATCTCTTGTGTTTCTTCATATCTTATGAGTGGAGGCACTGATTGCTTTTCTTCCAGACTATCTTTTCAAGAACATTTGAATAATTAACAGCTTTGGAAGATAGAGCAAGTGTCTCTCTCCAGAGCAAAGGACAGGTTTAGTATGCTATCCTGTGTAATAAGGATAATGTCTCCATCTGGGAAAGAGGGCAGATGAGCTAACCGCCCACCATAAAATATTCAAGTTCTCTAAGGTCAGGTTTCTTCTATGGTAATCCAGCCCATTGTGTATGCAGGTTTCACCTGGCCTTTTAGCTTCTCTCTGTGGGAATAGGGGATCATGGAACAGGTACAAGAAAATGCTGATATGCTGGCTTCCACTATTGCATTGAGTAATAATGTTCTTTTCAGCTGGCCCAGGAGTCCCATGTCTTTTGCCAAGACCATTAAACTGCGGCAGGCTAACTTATTAGCTTCCAAGTAGAGTAAAATTGTAGACTGTTCACTGTTTTTGACATGTGGTCTCTTCCTTTAAAGACTTATCGACACATAGTAAAGTTTACAGAAGTGCTTAAAATTGCTTTTGTATCAAAATCGTATGGTTATAAAATCTGTTGACAAATGGAGTAGTATTCTGCCCCTGTTTTATATAAATATAGGTTTTCCGTATTTTTTTTTTATATCACTGGTTACGTTTGTTTGGGAAAGTCAATCATCTTCACACACATACTCATTCATATTCTGACTGACTAGAGTAGGTGTTGAAAAAATATGGCCCCTAAACCAAAACTGGCTCAATACCTGTTTTTGTAAATAAAGTCTTATTGGAACACAGCCATGCTAATTAATTTATGCATTGTCTATGGTTGCTTTTGAACTACGATAGCAGAGTTAAATAATTGAGACAGAGATTATAGCCTGCATAATCTAAAATATTTACTATATTTACTTTTATAGAAAAAGTTTGCCACCAACCCTTGGGTTAGAGGATATTCATATTGTGCTGATAATGCATTCTATATCCCTTATAGTAAGTATATTCTCCCTCCTCTACCTGGCTCCAGCTGTTTCCAACTATTTAGCTACACTATAGTTGCCTTGACTATATCTACAGTTTGCCTTACTCCTCACTTCTAACACCAGATACAAGGTTCGAGTTATATTTCTTGATGTATTCTAAACCAGGCATACTTAAAGACTAGCCTCTATTCTAATGGTAATTCTATGAAACATAACTAACTGAGGCAATAGATTGGTTCAATGTCAGAATTCTCTTGCTACTAGAGTCCTGTACCAGCAGCTCAAAGTCTCTCTGAGCTTCTATTTTGTTAACTAACTCTTGTCTAAGCTTTTGCATTTTGTTTAAATACTCATTAGCCACTCACACTCTCAAGAACTGTACCTTTACTCATTCTGAATTGCCTATCAACTTTCAGACCTAGGTTCTGGTTTGACTATGTTTAGCTGGATCTTGGCTCTTTCACACTTGGTTCCTTTTTCTACATACCTGATCAGATGTTATTGACAACCTAAAAATATATCAATTGGCAGAGCAGTAAAGAGATAAGAATTTTTACAATTTTTAAGCCATCTTTGTATTTATATAAATCTTAGATATAGTACAAAATAGTCGTATTTACTCTACATACCTGGTCAGATGTAAAACTTAATATTTCAAAACTACATCCAATTAAAAATAATATTACAGGCAGAGGAATTAGAAAGTCTTTCAAACGTAGGTTCAAAAATGCTGCAAAAAAAGATCTTTATTGAAAAGTGGTAAAATATCACATTTTTAAACTTTAATTTGATATGATTTCTTAATACTTATGACAATGAAATATGGTTTTACACATTTCTTATATTCCTGTCTTTGAAACCTTCCTTCACACTTCAGCACACAGAATCAGTGTAACTACTAATCCACTAGATTCCTCCTTGATCTCATCTATGAAGTATCTCATTTTCTTAAAATCATTAGTAAATATTGCTAGCAATCATTGGCTCTTGGGTCACTACTAAAATATGTATAGCAGTTTTTGCACATGCTATAAGTCAGATAGGTTCTTTAGCTATTCTGTTAAACTTCAATGAAATCTCTTGGTTGATTTCCAAGATAACGATGAGGAACTAGCCATAATAATTTGCCCGATAAGAAAAATTAGCTATCTATTACTAGTTAGCTACTCCACATTGGAAAACTTAAAATGAATATTTAACTTTGTTCATCATTGTTATCAAAGTGCAATAAGCAATATCACAGCATTTTTTTTTTTCAGTTTAATGTTTTCTGCTTTTTTTTAGTACAATTCCTAATCAGGTCAAAAGAATGCAAAAAAAAAAATGCTTTCTTTTGGTTTCTACAAGTGTTGTTTTCTCATAGAGGTCGGCAAAATTTTTCTTTTGGACAAAACCAATGTGAAACTCTAACGAGTGATTAAAAAGTAACTGAATCATTCAGAAGTCTTATCAATTTGAAAATCCTTTGTCCATCTGAAGAAAGCGGTGGGACAACTAAATTTAAAATATGAATGAAACTATAGTTTATGATAATGTAGATAACATAAAAATCCTCCAACCCTTGATTTTCTGTCTATCTGCTTCAATTCTCCTCATCACTTAAATCTAATCATGACCTAGCAAGTAGCAAGGTGTGGATATTTTGAACTCAATAGAGGTGAAGAATATAGATCAGATTTTACATGTTTCTTCTGGGGCAGATTATTGTTGAATTCGTTTAATTGAAAATCTTGGGACAGAGGTATGAATTTAGGAACAAAATTCTAATTTCCTATTACTGCTATCTATATTGTGGCATTTGCAAGATATATCCATAAAATAAACTCAAATAATAAAGAGACTTACACCTACCTCCAATTGTGCAGATCGAAGACAATACTAGAATGATTTCAGGGAGGTCCGGAGGATAACTTATGAACTTATTTCTGAAATATTCCACCCAAGTGCCAGAAAGTCTTTTGTGAACAACACGATCAATACTGGAATTCGAATTCATACTGTTGTTTGTCACGGATTGTCTGAATCCAACTGTTATGACTCTGCAAAACTCACATAAGAACAGTAAAATCTGCCTTCTTCGTAGTCTTCTAATATTTTTCTTTATTATTTATAATGATACCTTAGAGTCTGCCAAAATTAGAGATACTTTCCCTTCAACGATGCTTTCAATAGAGCAAGTGATAGAGACTAGCCAGTGTTACCTTGGGTTCACTTACAATGTCAAGCACTGCTCAGCATTATTCACCTTACAATTTTCTAACTATCTGAAAGAAGGATGTTTTATCCAACTGGTTACTGGGACCACAGGCTGGTACAGGGATGGACAACTGAGGAGTTTGCCCTCAGCTTCTTTGAGCTTCTGGAAGTGTGTTCTGGAAGCTATTCCAAAATAAGTAGTGGGATAGGAGAAAAATATTCTCATTTCTTTTGTGATTCTATCTAGATAGAAAATACTAGTCCATGATGATATTTAGTTATAGCCTTCTTTTATCTCATTCAGAACAATGACGGGTTAGATTTTGTCTAACGTTTATGTATTTATATAACAACTGAGCACATAATAAAAATATTGAAGCCAAAAAGATTTAAAGCAGAGGAGTTGTTACATGTTTTATCTCATTTTTACTTTTTGGAAAAGAAACAACAGGGGCCATGACACACGCATACACATATGTTTTCTCATATATGCTTTTCTCATTACAAAAACAATATTTTGAAAGGGAAAATTAATTAAATAAACATGCTTATTGTGAACACTTTTGAAATAAGTATGAAAACAAACATTTCAAAAAACAGAAAAAATAATCCACAATTATGTCATCCAGTGGCTCTTACATGTTTTAGTTACATAGCTGGGTTCATTCTTATGTAATTACACTTTATACTATTTTCCACTTGGTATTGATTGTATACCAGCATCAAAGAGCCTTGTAAACACCATTTACAAAGGTTGTAGCATATTAGCACCAATTCAAAAGTGCCAACTCTATGGTCAGATTGCCTGCATACACAGGCTTGATGGGCTGCTGCTTGCAGAGTGAAAGACTGAGCAACTTACTTCAAAGCTGTTGGCCTTAGTTTTCCAACTTGTGTAGTTTTTAGTCTGTGTGCTCTCCCTCCCTGAATTTATTGTTCTTATTTGGCATTACCTGTAGAGCTATAATAATAGTGGTGCCTAGGTCTTATTCTCAGAGGTTTCTAAATCAGTCTGGGTTTTAACCTGGGTTCCCCAGGCAATTTTAATGTATAGCCAAGGTTAGCAACCACTGTGATTCACCCAATTCAAAGGCAACAGCGCTCAATTTTTAGTCTCAATGCCAGCTTCTTTTTAATATTCCTGATTCAGGTATTGTGAGAATGGGTATCAATGCCGTTCAGGCAAAGAGACGACCAGAAATACACCTATGGTTGACAAGTTTGGTTTACTTTTTGTCTCAATGAGGGAGAACATTCATCCTGGGGAACTGTGGAGTATTTCGGTAAAAGGATGTTAGAAAGAGCTTAGTGTGGATCTGGGCTGTGGCTGGGTAATTTTGGGGAGGGTCAAAGAAAGTGCAGGGTTACTATATATTGGGTGCTGTCAGAAAGAGAAATTCTGTGATTGGGTATCTCAAATCTTATCTATATAAAGGGCAGACTAGAATGAGCTGTAATGAGTACAGATGAAGCAGTCACTCATTTTAGCAGAGAGAAGGGATGTTTGCTATTGTATGGGTTGCACAGTGACTGTTTTCTCTCACTTTATTATGGTCTCAGAGTGACATTATCGGATGTTGATGCTCTGTGAGATTGTTTATGTCCAACAGGAGAACAACATAGACTAGCTGTGAGCATCAGGCTTGTAGTAACAATGAGTGAGACCTAGCTCTGATATCAGACCAGTTCCCTGATGTCAGTGGCTGCTTTTTTAATTTAATTTTTGACTAACTTCAAAGGATTTCTAAATTCCTTATCCTTACTTAAACATGTCAAGAGCTGGAGGCAGACCAGGGGATTTTGATAGTAAAATAAGTGGTAGAGCAGAACAAGCTCAGCTAGCTCTCTGAGAGTGATTCTTAACCTTAGCTACACACTGGAATAACTTAGAGTTTTAAAAATACAGGTGTCTGGGTTGCCCCTCTAGAGAATAATTTAATTGGACTGAGGTACAGCCTGGGTGTTTGGAACCTTCAAAGCTTCCCAGTGATTCTAAGGAGCAGCCATAATATAGAAGCATTGCTCCAGAAGTCCGTGCTGTTGTGATACACTGGTGATATTTGTTCTTAGTTAACAATAAACTGTTTAGAACATTTATTACCTTGTTCACTGTTACTCCAGGACTAAATATCCTGGGCTTAATTGAAAAATAAAAAGTATTTTCTGCATCAGAATTATACATTCTTACTTGCTTTCAGAATTTAATACAGTTGTTTATTGTTTTCCAAACTAAAAGTGGGGATTTATATTCCCATGAGCATTTTTTTTTATTTTTAAATTATTTATTTAAAATCTTTGATAAGTGTTTACACATTCGATCCTAATAGTTCCCTTTCAAAAAAGAATAAAATCACTTTAAGTCTTACCCTTGACATTCAAGGATAGATATGATCAAGTTCAACAGAATTTCACTATCTGGCTGTGAATATGTGGCGAATACTCAGTTTGGCTTTTTCAACCTCTACTCCAAATTCTCCTAACAAATCTTTGCTCCCAAGAAATGACCTCATCTTAAATTTGTATGTGGATGCTAATATTCAATATTTTAAAAGATAAGCGTAAAGAACTCTGAATAAACAGTGCAGATAAATGGGTTTTTAGTGTAATTAAAATTCTTCAGTTTAAACTGACTTTTTACGACTTTGGATAAATTTATGAGTCCATGTCTCATTAAAGAAAAAAATATTGATTTGTCATAAAATTACCACATAGGTTTCCTACATTCATCAATAAACTATATAATGGCTTACTTTTCTTTGTGGAGTTAATAAATGACTCCCCTCTCAAAAATGACATGCGGATTTGTCCTCAATTGTCAGCCTTAAAAAATTATCTTACTCATAGAGTGGAAGTCATACTTATTCAACTTGTCTCTGAAAAGGGGAAGTCTTTCTCCCTTTTAATCACATTTTGCAGGATTCAGGTGACAAAAGTATCCTGAAGAGGGCACTGTGAGATCCCAGTAATCACAAGCTATAAAGCTCTTGCTCAATGGTTTCTGGCAGATAAACAACTAGGGTTGAATGATCTCAGTAAGCACACAACACAGCAGTGTCTCACTCACAGTCTCTGAAGATGGGTGGTCTGTCGCTCTCCTAATGCGCCTTCATTCAAAATGAACTCTTCCTCCCTCTGGGCACCTCCGCTCCATACACCTGAGGAGATTCACCACAGCGTTAGCGTGCTTTCCTCTCAGTATCTCATTAAGGCAAAGAGAACAAACATGAGCCAGGTAAATAGTTCAGAAAGTTGATATACAAAGACAATAGAGGAAATGTAGGGGTTAAGAAGCAGAAAAACAAATTGAGAGGCTGGTTGGTCTTTGGGAAAGTCCTTGATTAGCTGCCATAGAAAAGGTGGAAACTCTAAGAGGGAATGGCTGGCTGAATCTGTAGCTGGAAATGTGTGGGAGCATCTGTTCCTCTTGGAAGGGAGGCTGAAGGAGAAGGTACCAGAGTGGAAGGACAACTTCCTGAAGGGGAAACTAGGAGGGCTCACCATCTAGAGCCTCAGGAATATCCTGTGGTGTGAAGTCAGAAGTGGAGGCGAGCTATTCTGTTCACCGCAGGACAGCCACAACCAACTGCAACCTCACTGACAGTTACTTGCTCCAAGTCCCACCCCTGCTCTGCACTCATTGGCTTAGGTTCATAACCCCTGACTTGATTGGCTGATGAAATAGAGTCCTCCACACAGCAAACCTAAGGCAACCTATGAAGATTAAAGGCTGTGTTTATTATTAATTTTTTCTTTTTTAAATAAACAAGGGTGGAACCTTTGGAAAAGGAACCTCTGAAAATTGTATTGCTATATTAATTTAAGGCTTTGGAACAGTGCATTTCTAACAAAAAGCTCATGGATACCGTTTTCCCAGAATTCCAATAGCACTGAATTTCTTGAATAAGATAAGACGGTGGAGATTTTGAAATACAAGGACGCAGGTTGCTGGGTTAAAAAAATAAAATAATGGCTGTTCTGGGCATAAGGAAGAATGAAATCGAAACAGATAGGCAAGGTACACTTTCACTTCTGGGTCGTTTGTGTGGGAAAATATTTAGGAATAATGATAGACTCATTTATTTTTTCTAAACATAGTATATAAAGAACATTTTAATTGAACTTACTGAACGATATTACCATAGGCCCAATTTTCATATTCCCACTCTCATCACAAAATATTTTGAGACAATTTTTTTAATGATTTTGCAATCCAGATACTTATTTGGATGCGATGCCTTGTTATAATTTTACTCACTCAAAGCCTTTGCAAAGCTATTTCAATGCCTAGGAAAAGAAATGTGCAGAGAAGAGAGGTCAAAGAGTGGAAAAGTGAAAAAGCAAACCCATCAAAGACAAAAGCAAATACTAAAGAATCGCTGATCAAATTATCCTCCTGGCTGGCAAAGAGGCATTCACAGCCTTCATTTGTGGTCTTATTGAAACCACAAAGCAATAGACTTTGTTGAAGGAAAATATGTTAACAATGTAAATCCACTTGGGGGCTGGTCAGTCAAGGAAACTAGGAAAGGCTTTTCAAACTGATAAAGTACACATATGTTTTAATGAAATAAAAGTTAAGGTTGTTTCTGAGTAACTCATTTAGATGAAAATATAAGGATCTCATGCAAGGTCTCCCCTATCAGAGCTAGAGTAAGATTAGCAAATGAAACAATCGCTATATCTATAATCTTTTGAGAAAGATATTGACATTTATTTTAAAGTTATTTTATTTTGTTTTCTCTGTTTCATATCTAATTCCACCCCAATAAATAAAAAGAACATGTCACTGTATTTTTCCTTTTTTTCCCCCTGTGATTTACTTGGGTGGAATTCAGTGAAAAATAAATAATTAATTATGGTTTGTTTCTATAATACTGTGATTTGCCTTTTTAAATTTTGACTATGCTGTATAAAATTTCACCATTATTAAATTTAAAATTTTTATAGACTAAAATCTATTGACATTTTTTAAAAATTTCTTCTTTCATTTTTAAGTGAAAATGAAAGCACTTTAATATATATTAAAACCTATTTACTTCTAATTATTTTTTGCACTTTAAATGCAACAGCATTTGTGACACAGCCCTTGTACTAAAATCATTCAGGAGAAGCGAGGTCATGATCACTTTTCACTGAGACAATAAATGAAGATTCTCCAGAGGCATCAGGTTTTGAACCTTATTAAGACAGGAAGGAACTGGTTGAATAGATGAGGATAGTGAAGAAATGGGAGTATTTAAGAAAATAAAGATGACCATATTTGCATTATTTCTATATATATATGGGGACTTTGGGGGATACAGAGATAAATGATAAGTGATTTCTTCCCCAAAGCAGCTTGCTTATATGTCAACGGTTATCCATAGTATAGTATGCATAATAACAAAAGCAGTTATATTAATTATTGTTGCAAAAGGTCATTGAGAGGACATGATGATATTGTCCCCAGAGCTGGACTCAGGCAATCGGAGGCTCCTTACTCTTTCTCCTGTACTTGGAATGTATGTTCTGCCCACTATTCCCACAGTGAGAACCATTTTCAAAGATGCAGCCTTGAGAGAGCCATGTGTTGTTGAGACGGAGTGGTATATAAAACTGAACCCAGGTGAGGTCTCTATATAAACTTTTAAGATTTTGGGTGGCAGGTGTGGAGATATACTAATCTTGCAGTTGCCTAAGACAAGACTTGTAAATTCCCTCTCTTATTAAATCTACCACCTTCCAATCTGGAGTGACCTGACTCTTTCTTCCATCTCTCTCTGCCCTCTGTTTATAATGGCCACTTTCAGATTTCACCTGCAAGTTCCCAAGTTTTTGAACCAATAATTTATACAAGGAAATAATAAACATTTTCTTAGAATTAATAAGAAGTTGGCACAAACAAAGTAACGTCTTAATAGATTTTGAGAGATGAACTAAACTTATATAAACACACGGTTTTCTGAAATACTATAATGTATTTGGGATATTTTCCATAGTTCACTGTAGTAGGCTTTGGGGCAGTTATCAGTCTTGATAGACAGGTAATAAACTATTTCTTAAGGAAGCTGAAAAATAAATGTAATAGGTATTCAGATAGAAAGAGTGGGTAGTTGAGGAAGGCGTAGTAAAACAAAGTTCTCAAAAGGTGAATGATTCTGGATTACAAGAATATCTGGTGTGTGACCATTATAGCATATTGAAAAGTGAAATAGAAGAAAACCTTTTAAATTTTGAGGGGTAAGTTTGAACATACACACGCACAAATATTAGGTTTCTGACTCAATTTTTACCTGTATATCAACCCATAAAACTACAACCCATACAAAATACAGGGTATTTTCAGCAACCCAGAATATCTCCTATATCTCTTTCCAGTTAATAATCTTTCCCCCAAATTACCATTATTTGAATTTCCATTATTTTTTAATATTTTGCCTCTTTTTGCATTTCATACAAATGAGACCAAATACTATGTACTCTTTTGCCCCCAACTTCTTTCACTCATTAGCGTTTTGTGAGATTCGTTCACAACATAGTTTTGTTCTTTCTTCTTTGTTTCTGTGTAGTATTTAATTTTATGATTATTACTATAATTTATTCATTTTAGAGTTGATGGACATGAGAGCTGTTTTCAGTTTTTAGCTACCACAAATAAGGTTTCTGTAACATTTTCGTATATGTCTTTTGATGGATATATTCATTCATTTCTCTCGTGTGTATATTTAGGAGTTAATTAGTGGGTCAAAGTGCATGCAAAATATGACTGTAGTAGATACTGCCAAAATGATTGTACCAATTTAAACTCTGACCAATCTTGCCAATAGTCAGCATTGACAATGTGTTTTAAAGTTTTACTTATTCTGTTGGATGTTCAGTTTAATTATATTTGTAGATCTTATTTTCTTTTAACTGATGAATGATAATATTGAGCACATATCTTTTCATGTGTATATTGACAATTCTTGTGTAAGAAGTGCCTGTTTAAGTCTGTTTCCTGTTGTTAAAAATTGAATTACATGGGATTTGCATTTCTGGGAAGATGGAGCTTATGTATTTTTCTCTATTCTTCCCAGTTAGTGTACAGACAAAAGCCCTGGACATTATATATGTAACAAACATAAAAAGACTCTAGATAAAGAGAAGGGAGACCAGATAGGGACCTTGAGACCTGAGTAACTACACAGTGATAAATTCCCTGGGTCTTCTTTTGCTTCATGTATCTCAAACTGGTACTGTAGAAGCTAGTAACCTGAAAATGACAATGAGTACAGAGTTTTAAAAGACCTAAGAATAACCTGTTCTCTCAAAGGACCAGGAAAGAGGCAGCCTGTCCAGATGAAAACATTTATCAATAACTGCCTTACTCCAGCCAAACACCACAGGAAAAATTTCACCTCCTCCTTCCTCACACAAACGAATGTACACAACTAGCAAAAGCTGAGTGGGAAGCAAAGACTTCACTTGTGCAAGACCATAAGAAGGTACCAGAACCCTGCCCCCACCTCTACTCTTACCATTCAGGTTGGTGGCAAAAAAGGCCTAGTGGAAGCTGGGACTTTTAAACCCACTAGACAATAAAGAGACACCTTGTGACCCTGCAGTTCAGTGGAGACCATGTTGGAGCCTGGACTTCCACTCCCACCCAGTAAAACAAGGTACTTGTTACCCTCCTTACTGGGGTGGTATCAGAGGAGGACACATGGAAAGTCTGGACATTCACCACCATTCGGCTACAAAATGGTTTCTTCTCATGGTATCAGCAGAGACCATGCAAGAGCAGTAAAGAGACACTTCATTTCCCCAGCCCTATGTCAGTAAAGACTAAGTATAGAACTTGAACTTCTATACTAACCTGCCAATAAGAAGCCCACTTCTCCCCATTTCTCCTGCCAAAGCAGTATCAGAGGAGGCCTACTAAAACATGTGATTTAAATAAGGTCCAGAGTCTTATAATATTCAGTGTCCAAATATTAATTAAAAATCACTCATAATGATCCAAGACGCAAGATGAATTCCAACTTAAATGACAACAGACAATAAACAGACACCAAATCCAAGATGACACAAATGTTAAAATTATCTGAAAAGAATTTTAATACAACTGTCATAAAAATACTTCAATAAATAATTATAAAAAACATTTGAGACAAATTAAAAAATAGAAACTCTGGTGAAAGAAATAAAAAATTCCAGGAATAAAAAAAATATGACAAAGAAAAACAACATAGAATTTCAAAGATAAAAAATACAATAAATGAAATTTAAAAAAAAATGAACAAATGGGCTCAACAGCTAAATGGAGAAGACGAGAAAAAAAAATCAATGAATTTGAGGAGAGAACAATAGAAATGACCAATTCTGAAAAACACAGAAGAAATTGGCTAAAATAAAATCGAACACAGACTCAGGAAGAAGTGGGATTAAAACAAAAGATCTAATATTTGGGTCATTAGAGTTCCAGAAGGAGAGGATAAAGAGGATGGTGCAAAAAAAAAATTCAAACAAATAATGGTTGAAAGTTTCATAAACTTGGGGGGAAAAAACAGACCTACAAATTCAAGAAAGAGAGTGAACTCCAAATAAAATAAACCCA